ACAAGCACCATTAAGGCAAACTCACGACCAGTCACCGTCCCGACCAGCGGGCCTCGTCTCCGAGTCAAAAAAGTCCACGGAGCAGGCTCGTCCTTGGTGCGCGCTGCCGCTGCTGGCTGACCTTGCTCCAGCAACAACCGTTCAGAGGGCGTCCCGCTCGAATTCTTCTGTAATTCGGAAGTGATCCTCAATCTTGCACAATGTAAGTTGCACCTTCTTCTCGGTTCAGCCGCACGAGCGCGCGGCCGCTAATCCACCACCACGCTGCCCATCCGTCCACCCGCCGAACGAACGCAGGCCCACCATCACCGTCGACCGCAAAGAGTTCTTCACTCGTCTCGGCAAGGAGTACTGTCAGTCCTCCTCCTCTCACCGTACCTGGATCCTCATCTGGCCCACAGCTGACGCCTGTCGCATCTCTCTTCGGAAACAGCCTTCAAGGAGTTCGACGAGCTCTTGTTCCAGTACGGCCTCGAGCTCGATGAGGACGTGAGCCTTCTCTCTCCTTTCCATTTCCCACTTCGAATCTGATCCATGCCGCACCACAGACCACGACCGACCCGGACCACCCGGCGGGCACGCCTCACCAGCTCAAAATCGAGGTCCCCGCGAACCGCTACGACCTCCTCTGCATGGAGGGTATTGTCAGGGCCTTGAAGCTCTGGCTCCACCCCGAGATCGGTGCCCCCAACTACCGTTTGGTCCCGGCGCCAGAGGTGCGTAATTGGACCCAGATGCTGGAAAGGCGCGGAAGGCCGGAGAGGAGGAGGGCTGATCGCTGCTTGTTTTGGGGTGCAGGGCAAGGAGAGAGTTGCTTACGTTAGGCCTGAGGTATGTTACGTTTTGGGAAGATGTGTACAGAAGGCGTGCTGATGTAGCTCTTCCCCGAAACCACAGACCGCAAAGATCCGTCCTTACTTTGCTTGCGCCATCCTTCGCGGCGTCAAGTTCGACGACTTCTCCTACAAGAGCTTCATTGACTTGCAGGTGAGCTCATCTTTGTCTCCCCGCCCTCAAATCAGCAGAGCTAAACCCCAAGCCATCCTCCCAGGACAAGCTGCACGCGAACCTCGCGCGCAAGCGCACGCTCGTCGCTGTCGGAACTCACGACCTCTCCAAGATCGCTCCTGGCGACATCTCCTACGAGGCCCTCCCACCAAAGGACATCAAGTTTGCGCCGTTGAACAAGAAGGAGGAGTACACCGCTGAGGAGCTCATGGTGCTTTACAAGGTGCGCCTTCTTTCGGGTCACTCGCCGGAGAGAGCAGAGGCTGATGTCGCTTGGGGTTTGCAGGAGGACAAGCACCTCTCGAGGTACCTTCACATCATCGAGGACTCGCCCGTTTACCCCATCATCTACGACACGACTCGTCAGGTCCTCAGTATGCCACCCATCGTGCGTTTCTTTGGTCAGCCTCGACGTAAACAACCTTGCTAAACTGAGCTCCTGTTCTGCAGATCAACTCCGACTTTACCAAAATCTCCCTTGACACCAAGGACGTCTTCATTGACGTGACTGCCACGGACGAGACCAAGCTCTACCTCGTGCTCGACGTTCTTGTCACCATGTTCTCCGAGTACTGCTCTGAGCCTTTCACGTCCGTCCTGTCCACCCTTTTCAAAAGCCCTCATACCCGAGCTCACACTCCAACCTACACTTTTTAGCGTCGAGCCCGTCAAGGTCGTTTACACCTCCGCTTCCCCTGGCGGCGAGCGCACCGTCATCACCCCCTCTCTCGCCCCCCGTCCCTTCGTCGCCCGCACCTCCTACATCAACTCCTGCACTGGTCTCTCCCTCTCCCGCCCCGAAGTTGTCAAACTCCTTCGCCAGATGGGACACGACGCTTCGGCCCCTGTCCCCGGCGCCGTTTTCGCCGCCATCAACGAGCGCACCAACGTCCAGATGAGCGAGAACGACATCATCCACGTCCTTGTTCCTCCTTCCCGACCGGACATCTTGCACGAGTGTGATATCATGGAGGATGCGGCTGTTGCTTATGGGTTCGATAACCTCAAGAAGACCTTCCCTACGACCAACACCGTCGCGAAGCCTTTCCCTCCCAACAAGTTGTCTGATACGATGCGACGACTGTGCTCTGAGGCTGGTTGGCTCGAGGTCTTGCCTTTGACTCTCGTGAGTGCCTGTTCAACCTCCTTTGAACGTCACTGGTCACGTTTTTGACCTCTCACGTGGCGATTTCCAGTGCTCCCACGACGAGAACTTCAAGTTCCTCAACCGCGTCGACGACGGCAAGCAGGCCGTCGTTCTCGCCAACCCCAAGACGATCGAGTACCAGGTCGTCCGCACTTCGCTCCTCCCCGGCATGCTCAAGACGATCCGCGAGAACCGGAAGCACGCGCTCCCGCTCCGCATCTTCGAGGTCAATGATGTCGTCCTCAAGGATTCGAGCGTGGAGAGGAACGCCAAGAACGTTAGGCGTTTGGGAAGTGTCTTCTGCGGAAGGAAGGCTGGGTTCGAGATCGTGCATGGGTTGTTGGATAGGTTGATGGTCGGACTTGGGGTGCAGAACCTTTTGGATGCGAAGCTGAGGGACAGTGCCGAGACGGGTTACTACATCAAGCCTACTGATGGTGCGTTCTCTTTGCTTCCTTTCTCTGAGGTCCACATTTCTGATCATGCTCTTACAGACGCCACCTACTTCCCGAATCGTGGAGCCGAGATCTACTACCGTCCTCCTCTCGTCGCTGGCGCACACACGACTTTCGCCCCTGTCGCTTCCGCCGATGCTTCCAACGCGACCGCCACTTCTACCACTTCCACTCCCGCTCCTTCCTCCGACTCTCCATCGACCTTCGACAACCTCAAGGACAAGCTCGCTTCCGCGCTCCCGTCTTCGGCATCGAGCCGCGACGTCCGTATCGGAAGCTTGGGCATCCTCCACCCCTCGGTCCTCAAGTCGTTCGAGTTGGACTACCCTTGCTCGTCGCTCGAGTTTGATCTTGAGATCTTCCTCTGAAAGAGTAGAATTCATGATGGGGACTAGCCTTTTGTAATCAATTTCTTCAAGGATCAAAAACTTTGGTCGCGTTCCGCCAGACCCGTCACCAGGGAGCCGGAGCGGGAGCCGTCGACGAACCCGGACCCGTCAATTCCGGCTCCCGTACGGTTACGGGTGTTCTGGGAAACCCCAGGAAACAAAGTCAGCGGTTTGCTATTGGCTCGTCGCGCGTTCTGCAGGACGTAACTTTCGGGCCGGAGAAAGATCAATTGGTTGGCTGGTGCTTCTTCAGTCTGTGTATTGTCGTTGTCGTTGTCGTCAGGCGGAAAGGGAGCGACCGTGCCCGTCTAATAAATTTTGATGGTTTCACCCAAAGAAGTTCCCACGGCAAACGTACCTGAAACATTAACACTGCGTTGGCAAAGCAGGTGGCTCACACTGTAGTTCGCTTCGCTCAGAGAGACACGTGGCTTGATAGGACTTTTCCAGGGCAAACTAAAACACCACCCGCACTTCAGGTCTTTTACCCGACATGATGCTGCTCAGCGCACTCTACCCCTGAGTTACACCCCACTTTTTGGTTGGGACTGGCGGAAGGGGACCGTAGTGCCAGAGGGGGACGCGTCTGCCCCCAAAGTTCAACCTCACCCTCCGGACAAGCGGGCACAGCGCCCGCCTCACGAACAGGCCCTTGACCATCTCCGTACGAATGATGAAGATAAAGTATAGTCTGCTGCTGGAGTGGTCCGAGCCGACGGTGGCATCGACGTCGAGTTCCGAGTAGAGCGCTCGTCGCGCGAGGTGGAGGAAAGTCTTGGAGACGAGGCAACACGTGGCGAGGTCTCGTTCGGAGAGGTCGTCAGTGTCGAGGATGTCTGCGATAATCTCGTTTGGAAGGGAGGTGAAGTTGGGGAGGACGGGGGTGGCCATTGCTGGGATGTCGAGGTGCGGGCTGGCAGCGACGCTGATTTCGGAGGAGGCGAGGGGCGAGATGTGCGTCTACTATAGAGATTCAGAGATGATCTCTAATTGCGTGCTTCTCAGCAGGAATAGATGGTGCAAGTTGTGGAAGGAGGACAAGGAGCCAGCCGAAGCTGTGCGCGAAGGACTTGAGCCGAACGCTCTCACTTCGGTCCGTGGCTCAGGGGCTGATCCAGGTCTCCTTTGAAGAGCAACCACCAACAATCACAGGTATCTTAACCACACATGCAAATATTTTGATCAATCAGACCTAGCTGGCATCTGGCATGCAAGTGAGCCCCAGCTCGTACATGCTGTGTCGATCACCTTACGAGACACGTGTTGGCACCTCAAGACTGGGTTTTGCACGCTGGAGCGTTCTCAGTTGCTGCTCAATCAGATGTTCAAAGCCGATTTGGCTGTCAAGTCAATTCAAGTTGAGGAGGGAAAGATTGCACCAGAGGGAAATACAACTCGCGAGCGACCCCTCAGGCAAGAGGACGAGACGATGCGGCTTGACTCGGGATACCATCGAGACTGGCTTGTCCGCCAGGCCGTTCCAGTCTACTGCCTTCATTGTAATAGTCCAGCTCAGAGGTCTGATTTTGCTTTAGGTTGTTACCAGCATTTCTCGCGCCTGAGACGGCAGGCGCGCGCCCATACAGCAGCAGACCGAAGAATCAGCTTCTTGTTCTTCCCTAGCCACAGTTACAGCAGTTTGACTTGTTACACACAGCTTTCCCTGGGCCTTTTCTTCTAGTGAGTTTGCGCCGTGTAGCTGGGTAACGTGGCTCCCATGTTTACTAGCCCATTTAACGCATACCCCAACGTCCGCCGCTGCTTACAGGCAACACACGTAATGTCTGGGAAGGTCTCACATTAGATCCGGTGACAATAATGTGAGGCGGTCAGGCGGCGAACAGATGCGACGGGGCGTGTGGTGAACACGTGTGTTCCTACGTGCCTTGAGCGCCGTTTCGCGCTTCCGGTATGTCTTTGAACTTGCAGCAAAAAGGATTGGCACGCCTGCAACTTGGTGACACCACCCAAAAAAAATATGTATCAACAAAAAAACAAATATGGAGAGGCAGGGAATTGAACCCTGGACTTCATGCAGTTGCATGGAATAATGCGAAGCAGGCACTCTACCCCTGAGTTACATCCCCTGTTTTGGTTATGAAGCATTTCAAAACTGTCTCCCAGGATAATTTCTGTACGTCAGTTGAAACTAGGCCTGGGTAGCTTAGCGGTAAGCTACAGGTGTCAGTTGTTTCGTAGGTTGAGCAACTGTCGTGGGTTCAAATCCCACCTGGGCACCAGCTCGCGGGTTGAGGGGCCCAATTCAGAGCAATCTCTGCCGCATTCCAAGACCTTATCAAACCTTCCGGGAGTTTTAGTGGGTAACAGCTTAAGCTGAGTCCCACACTACCAATCACTCTATTGGTGTGCGCAAAGCATTTCTTCCTTTATCTCCTTCTTCTCTTGCTGTAGTCGAGTAGCTCCTGCAATAAGAGTCGTTAGATACAAAAAAAAAAAAAACGGCTCCCTTATGGAGCTCTTCTGTAATCGAGATGTTAGATACAAAAAAAAAAAACGGCCCTTTTCTGCCTCCCCTGCTCTCCCGCATTTCAGGACGACCACTGGCTCTCTACCCACACAGCCCTCAAGAACGACTTACCAGATCGATGGCAACAATATCTCCTTGCATGGGAAGCCTCAGTCACGCTCTCTCCTTCCCTCTCCTCCTCCAGAATCGAGTGGTCCACCTCAGTCCTCAACCCCCAACTCTCCAACCGCCACACTCTCACTATTCCCTACAAATGGTTCCGTGAATCATGGAGTGGTAACCAACTAAGTGTCACTTCCTTTGCCAAGTCCACCGCTTCCTTCACTGAAGCCTCCTTTTCCATAATTTATCCTCCCTGGCCTCCCTCTCCTTCCCTCCAGGCTCAACACTGGAAAGCGTACTGGATCTTCCTCAAAAAGCCACGCCACATCCTTCCAGACGAGACCAACACAGCCCACCTTCTATCCCTCCGATCCCTCCACCCAGGAACCCAGGTAGCGGCCAAACCCACCCCCACCCCCAGCACAGCCTCCAGCACAGCCTCCTTCCCCAACAACGGCACTCCTCACTGCAGGGTCTGCCTTACCACCAAAGCTGAGTCCATTATCCATATCTTCATAAAATGCGAAGTATCTATTGAAATTTGGAAACTAGCAACAGAAGGAACCCAGCCCCACCCCACCCTCCAACAACTCATCTGCCCACCCTCCCCCTCCAACGCCACCCTTCCCTCCATCCTCCTCCAAATCCGCTACATTCACCACATCCTGGAAGCTCTCGAGATCACGACGGTTCTCCACCATCACTCCTCTCCTCCCCATCGACCAGCCCGCCCTCTCCCGCCTAGCCAGCAAGATCCACACCCCCTCACCTTAACTCCCTCCCCTCTCCTCTCTTCCCTTCTCCCGGTTTTAGTGGGTATTATCGACACTAGATGGAGTCCCACACTACCAAGATAGCTTGGTGTGCGTAAAGGCATTTAACCCTGTACCCCTTCTTCTCCCTTATGGAGCTCTTCTGTAATCGAGATGTTAGATACAAAAAAAAATTCTGTAATTGAGATGTTAGATACAAAAAAAAAAGCCCAAGCCCACGCTGCTCTATCGTGTTTGGTCTGTTCTAGGTGTACTTTGAGCTTCCGTTAGTTTCTGTTGGGACCGGGTCCCCGGCTGCTTGGTTGCTGTAACGACTCGAATACCCCGTCCTATGAGACTTGTTGACTGAGGATAAGGAAGGGTCGGAGTCGAAATCCGAATAAGGCGGAAGGGTAGGTAGGACCTCGGGTAAGGCGACGTGGTCTCCGAAGTCTCAAGGGTTGCAAACCTCTCGAAGTGAGAATGGAATGTCGAGTCTGCCCTTAGAATATCAAGATGAAGAAGCAAGAGAGAACTACACAAGAGTCCCTTATTTATACTCTTTCCGCTTCTCTATTTCCGAGCCATCCGAAGTCGTGAAATCCTCTTCCGAAGTCAAAGAAGCAATTTCCGAAGTGCTGTTCCGGAATTTGGGCTGAGCGGCATGGGTCCATACCTCGGAGATTCGTCCAGACTTTTCCTGAGCGCGGATTTTGTCTCGCTGTCGCTGGTTGCTTCGGATCCGACTGACTGGGAGCGGAAGTGGGGAAGGTCGCTCCGGAAATGGGTCGGAGAGTTGGATATGGGCAATGGGGAGCTGAGGGGAGTGTTGGGTGAAGCTGGTGGACTGAGCGTGGGTGTTGCTGTGCGACAAGGACGGCGCGAATTGGGTTTCCGAAGTGGGCTCCCCTTTGTTCCCGCTTTCCGTCACCTTGTATCCGGTGGCGAATCCTTCGAGTCGTCACAGAGCCCCCCGCTAAGATGGAAGCTCCTGCGCACCATGCGGATACTGATGCTGAGGTAGTTCCGGACATTTTGGTGAGCGATCTGTGGAGCAAGAGTAGTTGGTGGGATGTTTTGGCGACGGGGTCCGAGGTCGGAGGGTTGCCGGTTCCGATTGTGGACGCGGGCGAGACGTCGGTTCCGGAGTCGATGACCGCGGGTGAATCCCCTTTGTTTGCCTGGCTGGGATGGTCGTCTTCGGAGGTGGGGGTGCCAAGCCTTGGCAGTTCCGAGGTGTCTGGTCGAAGAGCTGTTGTCGAGGAGGTGGGAACAATGGGCGGATTGGCGACAAGGGAGAATCCGAACGAGCGGACAAAGGGGGTGGCGGAAGTTGTTCCTTTGGTCGGAGGGGCGCTCCCTCTCTTTCCTTCCTTCCTCACACTCTCCAACATGAACGCCGAACAACGCATGCCCACTCTTGCCCCCCGTACGCAATTCGAGACCTACGACATCCGCTGTGCCCCCTGCGTCAAGGGCGGATTCGAGTGCTACATCGTCTCCACCCACAGCCCGACGTCGAGGAAGTGTGGGACCTGTGCGGACCACAGGTCGAAGTCGAGGGCTTGCAGCTTCTGTGAGTCCTTGGTTCTTTCCGCGAAGGTGGGTGGTGCAGCTGACGGTTTCCGGGTGGGGCAGCTGTGCGAAACCCCAACCTTGTGGGTCCTGCTCCGGCTTTCGCCAGCCGTCGAGGCTTCGACGTCGTCGTCGTCGCCCACGGTCAAGCCCTCGTCGTCCGTCAAGCACGGCTTGGAGTCGCCCTCCGGAAGTGTCCCAAAGAGGAAGAGGACCCGCTCGGCGAGGGGGGAGTCCGAGGACGTCAAGCCGAAGGTCACAAAGGAGAAGGCGAAGGGCAAGGAGAAGGAGAAGGAGCGAGTGCCGGTGGCGGATATCGTGGGGTTGTGAGTTCCTTTTCTTCAGGTGTTGCGTCGGAAAGGAATGGCGAGGGCTGATGGTTGGTGGCGCAGGTCGGATATGTTTGTCGGCGCTTTCGACGACGTCAAGGTTGAGCTGGTCGGGCGAGACGAAGCTCGCAAGATCGTCCGGGCCGTCGCCAAGGCCATTGCTGCCTTCTCCGACTGGGCCGACATCGTCGACCCTTCTTCCGGAGAGCGCAAGGGCGACTTCGACTTCGTCGGCGAGAAGGCGAAGCTCGTCAAGGCAATCCGCGATTCGAAGCCCAAGCCGCTCTTCCGCGCCGAGTCAACGCCTCCGGATTTCGTCGAGCCGGTTTTCGAGCGCTCGAAGAGGAAGGAGTTGTCGCCTTCGGAGGGCGAGGAGGACGAGGCGAAGAGGTCGGAGGAGAAGGGTAGCAAGGAGGAGGAGGAGTAGGGGAATGCGTGTGGGCGGATGGACCCTGGGCCTGTGTAATTTTTCCACCTCCATAGTCGTAATAATGATTGTTGTTGCGTGATTCGTGACCATTTGTTGATGCCGTGAGAGTGAATGGATCTTTCGAGAGAGCGCATCATTGCCTGGGCGATCTCCGAGGTGTGAGTGCGTCTGGTGGAGTGCGATCCTTCGGAATCCGAGATTTCCGAGATTTCCGAGCCAGGCGTGGCGCGGAAGGCTTCGGAAATCGGGGCTTGTCGGGGTGTTTCTTGTGGAACTCCTCGACGAAGATCGGAGAGTTCTCCAGGTTCTCGGCCGGTTGCCAGGTCTGTCGCTCAAGGGCGTTGTCCTCATATCCGGTCCATTCGACGAGGTACTCCAGCTTGTTGCGTCGGAGTCGAGAGTCGAGAACAGCGTTGATGTGCCATTCCTCCTCGTCCTTGATGACAACAGGTGGAGGCGGAGGTTGACAGCGTCCCGGAATGGCGTCCGGAGGTGCTGGTTCCAGGAGGGAAACGTGGAAGACTGGGTGGAGGAGGCGGTATGCCTCCGGGAGTTCGAGCTTGACCGCTAGGGGTGAAACGACCTGGATAATCTTGAAGGGTCCGAGGTTCCGTTCCGAAGAATTTCTTCGTTGGACGGGTAGTGCGGATGTTCTCCGTCGAAAGGAAGACGAAATCGCCAACGGAGTACGAGGGGGCGTCCTGTCGCTTTCCGTCCGTGTTCCGCTTGTTCTTCTCGAGAGCTTTGGTGATCTCCTGCTTGGCGTGCTCGTGAAGCTCCCGAATCCGGTCGATGGTGACGCCTAGGGTTTTCCGCGTGGCTCCGGAAAGCCGAATGTCCAGGGTTGGGTGGAATCCTTTGTTGAGGAAGAACGGAGATTCGGTAGTCGACGAGTGGGAGGCGTTGTTATAGGCGAATTCCGCGAGAGGTAGGAAATCGCTCCAGTCGTTCTGGTCGTAATTGATGTAGAGGCGGAGATACGTTTCGACGATCTGGTTGATGCGCTCCGTTTGTCCGTCGGTTTCCGGATGATAGGCGGTGGAGAGGTTCTGCTGGATTCCGAGGGCTTCGGAAAGGGATTTCCAGAAGGCGGAGGTGAATTTGGATCCTCGGTCGGAGACGATGTCGCTCGGAACTCCATGCTTGGCGAAGACGTGCTGGAGATAGAGTTTGGCGAGTCCTTCGGCCGTGATCGTGGTGGTGGTGGGGATGAAGAGGCCCATCTTGGTTAACCTGTCGACAACCACCAAGATGGCGTCGAATCCGCTTGAGGACGGGAGCTGGTCGATGAAGTCCATGGAGATGCTGGACCAAGGGCGTTCCGGGATCGGAAGTGGTTGAAGCTTGCCGTAGCGCTGGTGTCTCCTGTTCTTTGTGCGGAGGCATTGGTAACAGGAGGACACATACTGGA